TCTTAGTAAAGTTTCGCTTTGTGCTACCCAAATTCCCTGAAATGCTCGCCAGTTAGCTTCGGTAACAACCAGAACTCAAATATCAAATTTTAAGAAATTCCATCGATTCGTTCCGTAGATATGGTGAAAAATGTAAAATCTTCCCGCAGATCAGTTTTCGAGCCGTGATCTTTCCAAAAAATTTATATGTTACTTGTTTTAATACGAAGAATTTAAATATTAAATTTCAATGAAATCGGTTGATTATTTCTCTTTATATACGCAAAAATATATATTTGGCCCGTAGTAAACGTTCAGTTGCTGACACCTGATTTCTTCCAAAAGTTAGGTGGTTTTGCGGACTATCGAGCTGAGCCTATATATAAAATTTCAAGTAAATCGGTTAAATATTTTCTTCAAAATGTTCAAAAATGTAAGACAGGCCCGCTAAAAAGTGCAGTTCCCGAGGCCTGATATATCCCAAAAGTTGATCAATCCGTGTCATGGTGAAAATATACTTACATATAAAATATAATCAAAATCGGTTCAGCAGAACTTGAGATACACGCGTACACACACAGACTGACAGACCGACAGTAAATGTAGTTAATCATTTGCAATATGTTCAAATTGTAACTAATATAAACCTTCTTAACGAGGAAATCGAAGAAATATTTGCAAACAGTATCAGACTGTAGTAAGATCACTATTAAGTCCTGACGAAATCGATGAATAGACCTAATAAAAATTAAAAATTTAAAAAGTTCACTTGCCATTCGCAACAATTCATTAATCTTCATATCACAAATTCCTAACTTGAGCGAAGATAAAGCAAACCATTTCAAAATAATTCCAGTTCCCAACTCAAAATTTCAATAGACATAACTGATGTAACAGTTTTTCGCAACAAAACTTACTATTAACATAGAACGCTCAAAATTATTTTCATCAATTGAAACACAAGAAAATAAATCGGAAATAATAGAAATTGTAATTGGTATGGTTTTAGTCATCAATCAACAACGTAAAATTGACTCACAATTGCAGTAAATCTATATTATACAAGCCAAATCCGATTGAGCAACTATCGAGTATTTTCGTTCATATCCTTTATCTCCGGAAGAATAACATAGAAAAAGAAAACGAAAAAAACAAAAAAAAAGTAATTCTGAATTATGCCAACATTTTAGGTATGTATATCATAATATAAATTGTATACAGATTTCTTGCAGAACTTTTTTATTTCTCATAAGTTTAATAAGTCTGTTACGCAGCGCAGAGGCGATAACATTCGTTTCTGTACAATTTATTCTTAATATTATTGTTTTGTAAAATAAAGTAACACTCTAAAAAGGTTTTACTCATAAACGTAAGTAGACTAAAAAGTTGTTATGCATTTATCTGTAAAATATGCTGGTATTATGTGTAAAATATGATATGACAATAGAGTGCATATGACAGTAGTAATTTTCAGCCCAAATGTGCGAACTGCAATGAGGCACACCCTGCTAGCTATCGAGGTTGTTTGTTTCCAAAAGAATTGCAAAAGCGAAGATTAAAAAAGAATAAAGCTAAACAAAATCTAGTTAAATTTAAAAGAAAAGAGCTCCAAAAATAGTGAGAATAACGACACCTAGCAAGGTGTTAAAGGGAGTATCGTATTCACAAGTGCTTCAAAGCAAAACCCCGCAAAACAGGAAAAAGAAGGAAAATGAGAACAAAACCCCACAACTAAAAAGAACTGACGCAGACATTATGCAAAATTTAATGATACATAGTATATTGATTAGAATTGACGAGATCTCTAAAAGATTATTAAAAATAGAAAATAGATACACTGAGGTGTATACGGGGACACCAAAGAAATTAAGAAAAGATGTACGTAAATGAGGTACGTATAGTAACTTGGAATGCTAATGGTGTTCTTAATAAGAAACATGAATTGGAGGTTTTTCTCAAAACGAGAAATGAAGATATTTGTTTGCTGTCGGAGGCTCATTTGACATATTATACGGGCCTTAAAATAAAAGGCTATGGTTGCTATAAAACGGAGATTTTTTAGCGTAGGAGTGACACTCTCCCACTGTTGAAGGAAAAAGGCAGATAGAGCCGTCCTTCTTCGTCTTTCGAGATTTTTTCACCTAGTAGAAAAAAATGCATTTATATTATGTTATAATAGAAAAAAAATCTGATGTAGTCAGCACATAACCGACCGCATTGTGCATTATCTAGTTAAGTGAAAGTGTTACAGAATATTATAAAAATGCCTGTTAATTACCTCTTTAAAAATTTAGGACATTAGTAAGCTTATAGTTAACATACCTAGAAAAATGTAAATTTGGCTCTTAACAGAGTTTCACTTTGTGCCACCCGAATTCCCTGAAATGCTCGTCAGTTAGTTTCGGTAACAACCAGAACTCAAATATCAAATTTCAAGAAATTCTATCAATTAGTTCCGTAGATATGGTGAAAAATGTAAAATCGGCCCGCAGATCAGTTTTCGAGCCCTGATATTTCCAAAAAATTAATATGTTCATTGTTTTAATACGAGGAATTCAAATATTAAATTTCAATGAAATCGGTTCATTATTTCTCTTTATATACGCAAAAATGTATATTTGGCCCGTAGTAAACGTCTAGTTGCTGACGCCTGATTTCTTCCAAAAGTTAGGAGGTTTTGGGACCGGTCGAGCGAAGCTTATATATGAAATTTCAAGCAAATCGGTTGAATAGTTTCTTCAAGTTCCCGAGGTCTGATATATACCAAAAGTTGATCGATCCGTGCCATGGTGGAAACAAACTTACATATAAAATTTCATCAAAATCGGTTCAGCCGAACTTGAGATACACGCGTGCACACACAGACCGACAGACCGACAGACCGACAAACCGACAGACGGACAGACCGACAGACCGACAGACCGACGGACCGACAGACCGACAGGTTGCTAAAAATAGTTTATTTACACTTCCCTACTATGGAGAAGTACGTTCCCACCGAAAACTCGATATGCAAAATTTGTTGCCATCACATAACCTACCTATTGTATACACAATACGGTCGGTAATAATGTAAGTAGTATAATAGTACTTCTCCTATTGATTTCATATATAAAAATAACGTGAGTGAATGAAAGGCTATTTTCCCGGTAGCACTTCTACGAACAATCCAATATACAAAAAAAAAAGCTCGAGCTATTAAAAACAAAAACAATAAAATAAAAAATAAAAATTATCAGCAATGCATTTAGTGAGAATTAAAAAAAAGAGAGAAACTGCGAAAAAAACAACAAAATAAATTACAATGCAAGTTTGCATGCATTGAAATGTCGATCAGAAAGCATAATAAGAGAGATATCGCGAAAATAAAAACATCAATACAAATTCAAATAAAATAGCAATATGAATAGCAATGGAATGTCAGCAAAGTTTCGATGCTGATAATGTATAATTTTTAAAAAAACAAAAATATGCATCGCAATGTAATATGCACAAAACCACGTTGTTGTTGATGAACAAGCTGAAACAAGAAAGCTTTTGTAACAAAAATCAAATTGTAAAAAAAGAATCACAAAATGAACAGAAAAAAACCTGAATAAAAAATGTAGTATTTAAAAGTAAGTTAGATTAGTTATGATTTTTTAAAATTAAACTGAAAGTGTACCTATATTAAGAAAACGTAAATTATGAAAATATTTAAAGCAAAAACTTCTTTTCAATGTAATTCTTGCATTAAGATATAAGAGATATTTTTTTTATTTTGCAGGCGGTAAGAGGTAGTCGATACCGTTAGCCTTTAACGTTTATAAAAAAAAGATGATAATATCTGCATGCATTATGTTTGTTTTTTAATACAAAAATAATGAACCTGAAAATATTGCTGTAAATTTTATAAGAAAAAGACAAATTTTTCATTTTTTAAGTTTTTTATTGCATTAAAATATGAATCAGTGATTATTATTTAATTTTGAGGTTAAAAAAAATGTATTTTATTCTTTTTTAGATTTTACTTTAAAATATTACAAAATTAAAATCAGCTTTCTATTCCTCTTCAAAGAATTTCAAAATTGGTGTTTGAAATTCCGTATCGTCTCGCCCCGTCATGACCATTTTTAACTTAGGAGATATGGTGTAATCCGTTATTTTCTTGACAGTAATAAATGCAGAGTATCTGCTCGGTAAAAAATATTGGTGGGTGTCTGTTTCGAGTAGAACTTTCTTCCCATATTTAGTTTTAATAACAACGGCTTTTGTTATACTGTAAACCTTGTGAAGTTCCAAGTCCTCGCTTTTCATCAAAGGCTTGTATGATGACACATTTGACGCTTCTTTTAACAATTCGTTGAAATTCTAGTTTTGAAAAGAAAATAAAAGTTAGATTTTTCTATAATGTATTAAAAATAGATATAAAATTTTTTGGATTAGAATAACTTACCATTTCAGAAAAATAGGAATTAATTTTTTTTTTATCGAACGCTCTTAAGTGTTAAAAGTGTTTTATGCTTATTCCTTAGAACAGATGTCTTTTTATACTACAAAGGTGCTTCAAGATGCAAAAAAAACTGGAAATGGTTAATTATTTTATGCAACATTAAAATTTATGGTGTGTTTTTGTAATACGATTTGTTTAATTTACATTTGTGATTTCCCTCCTTAAAAAAATAATTTTTTCTTAAATGGAATTAATATACCCCAATTAAGTTAAGAAAAATGTTTGGTATAAAAGCAGTAGGATTTTTGTCTTTTAAATATCAGTATTATTTTGATTTTACGAAGTCAACTAATTTTGGTAGAATACTACAAAAGACAACCTAAGTTTAAAGTTCAGCTGAGTCTGGCTGAACGGTATTCTAATTAAAAAAGTTGATTAAACGTTACTTTTTCGAAAAAAGTTGCTTGAACGGTCTTGTTAAAAAAGTGTTCAGTAATTTTTAAATTATTATTTTATTTCAAATTATTACTGAAGTTTTAAAGAAATAAAATTTGTGAAACAAATTATTTGTGCTTTTTTTTTTTTAAAAATGTTTGATGAACTAACTCCAGAGCAAAAAAAAATACTTTTGCAAGCCTGGAAAGAGTTAGATGAATGTTTTAAAAGAAACAATCATGATATAAAACAGCTTCCTCACACGGATGAGGAAAGAAAAAATTACTTTAAAGATTTTACGGAAGAAGAATGGAAAGCTTTTTCCGAACTAAAAATAAGTGATAAAAATGAATAAACCGAAGTAAAAAAGAAAACAAAATATAAAAAAAGTACAAAAACAGAAAAAAATAAGAAAAATAAAAAAAATAAAGAAAAAATAAAAAAATAAAGTTAAAAAAAGAAGGAATAAAAAAAGAAAATAAAAATAAAAATTTATATTTAATTTTCACGCAGAAAAAAAGGATTTCCAGTACACAAAAGGTGATTTTTGTAAAAATATATTGAATTGTTTATTAATATTAAAAATCTTTATTAAAAATAAAGTATAATAGTATTTTGTTATAATATACCTAGTACTTCAAAAAATAAAATAATGTTTAGTGCACATAAGATTGATGTGAAATTTTTTTTTCCACTTTTCCCTGCAATTACCAAATTCTTAAATATAATAGTAAAAGCCAAATTTTGAAATATCTTAGTTTAAAATTTTGCTTTTTTTTTAGAAAAAAATAAATTACAAAACAGACAAATTAAAAAAATGGATCCGGTAAATAAATTAATTTTAAAAAACTTACATTTTCTGTATTAATTATATTTTTTTATTTTAGATAAATTTAATAGAAACATTTTTTATTAAATTTTCCGAGTTTGTGACCGATTTCACAAACAATTTTATTCTAAGGAACAGAAATGCTGAGCAGCCTGCGTCCAACCATTTGGAAGAAGAGGTCGGGGAAAACATTGATTCAATTTCTGAAGCGGAAAACATTCCTCAAAATAATTTGGAAAACGAAAAAACTCAAAATAATTTGGAAAACGAAATTATACAAAAAGGAGAAGGTTCAAATTTGGTAAACGTTATACACCAAATAGAAAAGTTCAATAAAAAATTTGGTGTAATAACTAAGGAAATAACTTTTAAATTTAAGGACTTTGACGATGAAAAGGAATCTTTGTTTGACCACTTGAATAAGTGTTTCAAAAAATTAATTATGATTGTAACACAAGGTCGTGACAAACAGGATTTAATTGGACTCAAAATAGCTATTCCAAGCATGGAAAATACAAAACCCATCGGTTTGAGTTTTAGAAAAATTGAAACTTTAGATTCCAATTCCATTTTAGATTTGTTTTCATCGGTTTCCCAATCAAATACCAATTACATGATTACCGATTTATTAAAAATATCCGCTACAATTGTGCAAGTACCATCAGGAAAGGGGCGTGTTAAAATATCATTTTTATCAGATACTGAAATTTTAGAAAAAAAAGGAAGAAGTATTGTTGATAAAGGGAAAACTAATGATAATACATGTTTACCGCGATCTATATGGGTCGGTAAGATTCTAGCTGATCAAGTTAGTGATACAATCAAAAAAAAATATTTAAGAAAAAATTCGAAAATACTAAACTGTAAAGTAAAAATGTTATGTAATAAAGCCAAAGTAGATATTAATAAAAAAAATGAGTGCGACATTGGGGATATTTTTAAATTTCAGAAATATTTAAAAAATTATAATATATTTTTATACAAAAATAAAAAAGATTTCAACGAAAAATTATTTTTCGCAATACTAACCTCAAAAGAATAAATTTGTTTTATTTAGAAAATATGAAGCATTTTATAACTATAAAAAATGTTTGTAAATTTTTTAGCAAACAATACGAATGTAAATTTTGTTTCACATTGTATGACAACAGCCACATTTGTCCACTAGAATGTAAATATTGCTTAAGAAATCCTCCTTGCGATTTTGTAAATGACAATTTTATAAAGTGTATGGATTGCAACCGTCGTTTTAGAGGTCAAATATGTTTTGCAAACCACAAAAAATTAAATTCCTATAAAAACTTTTCTGTATGTTCGCAAATACAAATTTGTCAAAAATGTTTTAAATATTTTGATTTGCAAAAACGAAAACATATCTGCGATGAAAAATATTGTTCAACATGTGGAAAATTTGTTGAAAAAGATCACTTGTGTTACATACAAAAATATAAAAAAAATCCTCCTAAACATTTCTTTATAGTTTTTTTCGATTTAGAATGTACACAAGAAACAAAAAAAAAAACCGCATTTTTACATGAACCTAATTTATGTGCTGCACACTTAGTTTGCAATTTATGTTGGAAGGAAAATGAAAGTAATTTTGAATGTATGAAATGTAAAAAACGGACATACATTTTTGAAAATTGTGCTAAAGAAACATGCATAACAAAATTTCTAAATTTTCTCTTAAAAATTACTACAGATCAATCAAGAAAAATTTGTTGTATAGCACATAATTTCAAAAGTTATGATGGGCAATTTATTGTAAGTGAACTTTTACAAAGAAATAAGCCAGTACCGATTATGGGAGGAAATAAAATTTTGAAAGTAACTTTTAACCACAATATTATTTTTATAGATTCCCTTAATTTCTTACCAATACCTTTGTCCAAATTTACTTCAGCTTTTGGTCTTGATAAAAATGAGGTTAAAGGTTATTATCCTTATTTATTTAACACGAAAGCAAACTATAATTATGTTGGAGAAATTCCAAGCACTGAAATGTTTGCTTTGAATAATTTTAACTCACATGAGCTAGAAAAATTTTATTTATGGTACAACAACTTGAAGAAATCAAATTATGTTTACAATTACAGAGAAGAGTTAATAAAATATTGCATCCAAGATGTAAATGTATTACGTCAGGGATGCTTAAAATTTATGAATGATTACCTTCAATTATTGAATATTAACCCTTTCTTTGAAACCTTTACTTTAGCACAAGCTTGTTTGACTGCATACCAAAAACATTTTCTAAAAGAAAACACCTTAGGTGTAACTCCCATTAACAATTATAGTAAAAAAAAAAATCAATCTTTAATTGGCCTAATGCGGCTTGAATTCAAAAATCAAGCTAGCTGTGGTAAAATTAAATATGAATATGATTTACCAGATTGCAACTTTACAGTAGACGGCTTTAATCCAAACACAAATACGGTTTATGAATTTTTAGGATGCTTTTACCATGGATGCGAAGACTGTTTCTTCGATAGAAATTTAGTTGTCCATGGGTATAAAATGCAGGCTAGGTTTGAAAATGCTATGTGCAAAATAGCAGTTTTAAAACAAAGTGGATATAATGTGTGCTGTGAATGGGAATGTAAATTTAAACAATTTTTAGAAATCAATCCAAAAATAAAAATTGATTTAAAAAATACTTCTTTGATTTTACTTAACTCAATTGATGCTCGAGGTGCTATTTTTGGAGGTCGCACCGAAGTATTTAAATTATACTATAAAATCCAAGCAAATGAAAAAATTTGCTACTATGACTTCACTTCCCTCTACCCATATGTAAACAAAAATTGTAAATATCCAATATTACATCCTAAAATTTATAATTCTCAAGAATGTTTACAATTTGAAAATGATATCAGTAAAATAGACGGTTTAATTAAATGTGCGGTTCTACCACCGCAAAACTTATGGCTGCCAATCTTACCAATCCGCGCTAACAACAAAATGTTGATGGTTTTATGTCGCTCATGCGCGGAAATGGAAAATGTGTTGTATAAATGTACTCACAACGATAAAGAAAGAATGCTTTTTGGCACATGGACGAATATGGAATTAAAATTAAGTGTGAAATACGGGTACACAATAATAGAAATACATGAAATTTGGCATTATGATTGCGAAACTTATGATTCAATATCTAAAACAGGTGGACTTTTTACTGACTACATGAATTTTTTTATAAAATACAAGACTGAGGGTTCTGGTTATCCAACTGGTATACAAACTAAATCTGAACAAGACGCATACATAAAGGATTTTTTTGAAAATGAAGGTGTGATGTTAGATAAATCAAAAATTGCTCTCAATCCTTCACTGCGAAATCTGGCGAAACTAAAATTAAATTCATTTTGGGGAAAACTAATACAACGAAATGACCGTCATTCAACAACTGTTGTACAAACCATCACACAATTTCATAATTTAATACATTCAAGCGGTATATCAGTATCGGACATATTTACTGCCAGCGAGCACCAGGTGTGGATCAACTGGAAATACAATTATCCTGAATTGAATCCCGTTCTCAAAAATCAATGTTTAATAGTTGGAGCCTTTACGACAGCGCATGCTCGATGCTTATTGTATAATGAAATAACCAAAATTGGAAAAAATCTTTTGTATTGCGATACGGATTCTATGATTTTTGTTCAGCATACTGATAATGAGTATGACTTAAAGACAGGTTGTCAAATGTCTACAAATACATTTTTGCGCGATTACTAACAATTTTTTAATTGTTACAGGTACTTTAATTGGAGATTTAACTAACGAATTTACATCATACGGAAAGAATGTTTACGGCACAGAATTTGTATCAACAGGACCCAAAAGTTATTCATATCGTTATTATAACCCGGACACTGACAAATACGGAGAAGTTGTTAAATGTAAAGGAATAACAAGTAATAAAAATGGAACATCACTAAATTTTGAGCACATGAAACAAATAGTTACCGATCCTTTTGGAAGCAATAATTTGTATTTCGTAACACCAAACAAAATTAAGCGTAAGAAACATTTTCACGTTACTTCAGAAGATGAAAAGAAAAAATTTGGCTTTACATTTACGAAACGTGCTTGCCGTGATAATTTTGAAACAATTCCTTATGGTTTCTTAAACAGTTAAAAAAAAGGTAGGTACACATAAAAATTTTGTATATAAATTCGTGAGTTTAAAATAATAAAACTTCATTTTTATTTTTACATGTACCGAAGAAACATGGCACAAAATGTATTAATAGCAGATCTACAATTTATAGTCGGAAGTAATAATGAACTTTCCCTAAAAGAAATGGCAACGATTGATACCAACTCAATTATCTCAAAATTATACCACTTTAAACCTCCGTATCGTCAGGAAAAACTAGATTCAGCAGCAAGGGGGCAAAACGCATACAACCTAAGACATGTCAACGGTTTGAATTGGATTGACGGTAATATTAATTACAGTGAAATTTCTACAATCATGGGAAGTTTTTCGTCTTACGATAAAGTTTATGTAAAAGGAGTTCAAAAGAAAACGTTTTTGGAAAAATATTTGCTACCCCAGGTTATTAATTTGGATGATGAAATACCACCTTTAGATAAATTAAAAAATTATGAATCATTCTGTGTAATTCATTTGAAATCTGACACTCATAAAAAACGTTGTGCTGTAAAAAATTGCGTAAATATCTTAATGTATTTAATAAAAACAAATGTAATTTGATTTAAAAAAATGTTTTTTTATTTTGGTATTATATTAATATTACATGTTATGGAATCATTACATAAATCCAAATTATATAAGTAACAAAATATTTGTTCTGCCATAAAGATTGGCACCTCATAGAATAGTCTGCTATAATTACATTGATAAGATGAAAACTGCATTGGTATGTAAAAATCTTCCTGTGATAGTTTAATAACTCCTTTTTCTTTACATTTTGTAAAGTATTTATGAATGTATTCTGCAATAGTATCACTAGCATTGTTATTGTATGACATTACAGCTTGTATGAAATCCAACATTTCGTTCAATTTCCAATACTCTTCTTGTCGAATATCAAAAGTAATTTTATCTTGTTGATTGAATTCCAAAATGTTGCAAAAAGGTTCACTTTGTTGCTGATTTTCGTTAGTGATCCGAGCAGATTCCAACATTTTGGCTTTTTTGTAAAATGAATGCCAATCATCATAGAGGACATGGACAGATCTTTTGCCATTTCGATGAAATATTATTTTTGACTGGAAAGTGTCGCAGTCGAATCCAATAACTATCTTACATGTTTGTTTCGTGTTTAGAAAATATATGTAAGAAAGTAACAAATTTTCTTTTTCCGGTAATATTTTCTTTTCTTTTTTTCTTGACATTTTTGATGGAGATGTTTTTCTTTTTAACGGCATTGTAGAATCAGAAGCGCTAAAACTGAATAATTATTTCCAAGCACAGAGCTTTGTATTTATACTCTTGACGTAAAACTTTAGTGCTGTTGTGAAATCGGTTTCTGGCATATTTGTAAATAGTTCTTTGTTTGCCTTTGACGTCCGAAAATTTTTGAAAACAATTTCACAACCGTTTTGTCATTAAAGTTGAGATTGTTGCTATTGAATATATCTAAAAACGTTGACATGCTATAACCTTTACATCTGTACCACAAATATACGCAGCAATATTGTCCACAAACTTCTGAAAAGTCGCCTTGTAATCTTTTGTAATTCCAGACAGTATATGAATTCTTTAAAATTCTTTTTAGAAAATGTTGTAGTTCTTTATAGGAAGGTGCTTGACCATACGAATCAAAATACTCGACAAAACCATTTGTGGGTATAAAGATACATACCCAATGTTTACCTGGCTTAGTATGAACATCTGTATTTACTACTATAATTGCGGGTTTTTGAACATGTTTAGGAAGCTTATCAAGAGGAAAAACTCCTTTAAAAAACTTTTTTGTTTGCTGATTGCATGACAATACATTTTTAATTTGAAGAGAATCCATAAGAGTTATTTAGTTGTCTTCTCCAAAAGAAGTAAAATCATAAATTTTTGTGTTTCCTTTTAAATAGTGTTTTAGAAAATCCTTGTTAATACGGCCATTCGTTAAAATAATATCAAATTTTTCCATTAATGCGACAAGTTCCTTATCTGCTTGGTTATTATATATGTTTCCAAATTTATAGCCTTCAGTAGCACTTGGTTTAAGGGCTTTTGTGGGAAATTTGTATTGTATTTCTTTCAAATTACATTATTACATTATTATCTGTTCCAGAGAATAATGTATGGTAAGCTCTTGTGCTGCAGTTATTATCGTCAGAAAAACTTGTTTCTATTGCTGCATTTGGTACTTGAACACCATTAACATAAAGCATGAATTGTGAAATATCAAAATGCTTAAAATTGTAGGGATTTTTTGATCGTTTCCCGGAATACCCCGAATTTTCGGTCATGCAAAAGATAATTGTGTTTGGTAATTGACCAATGAAAACATTGTCTAGTGAAATCGATGAGCTGTTGCTTGGAATTGTGAAATTTTTGACTTCTACTCTTTTATAATGATATTTAGCATTTGCTTTTTCCAAAACTGCATTATGGGCTAGTAATACGCTAGGATTTATAGTTACATGTCTCATAAATAAATTGGCTTCTACAATTTTTAGTTGCGATTCATCCGAGTCGTCCGCAAATAAGAAAAAATCTGGTTTTTCTAATGTGAATAGAATTCGAATATCAACATTGTTTATTAGAAGCGTAGGTTGATTAAACATATCGACATGGAGTTTTCCCATGAGTTCAACAATATTACTGTTATGATATAGTTTTTGACGTTCCTTTGAACCATTATTGTCAGATCTAGCTATATTCGGTTTATCTAAAATCCATCCAGCGCATTCCAAATGAGTTGTTGCAGCATCAGTTCCATAATTTAACAATGATTCAATATAAGCTCTATAATGGTAATTTCCATCTGACGGAGTGATATTTTTACCATTGAGTTGTACATTGCACTGCTTAATTATAGAATGTAATAGATTATTCACTACACTGGGTTGTTGAAGGATTTTTCCATCTGCACCCTTATCATCATGCCACGGTGTTCCATCTTTTTTTAAAATTTGAACTTTAAGTTTTAGATATGTTGAAGACAAATCCCTGTATGTGTCACCATGACCTAATGAAACGAATTCTATTGTTGAGGGACTATCCAGAGAAGCAATAGGATTGTATGAAACCTCTTCAGATTTTAGAATGCTTGCTTGTATTGGTGGACTTGTAAATAAATCTAGTTCTGATTTCATACATTCGTTCATTTTATATTTTAATTAAATATATCTCGTTTTTCTCGTTTTTGAATTTTTTTCCTTTGTTTACTCTTAGCTTTGCGTTTCTTTTGATTTGAATGAGTTAATGTAGTTGAGTGAGTTCTTTTTATAGCTCTTCTTCTTCTTATACCGCTGCCATACATTTCATTTAGTTTGTTTACAGCTCGACGTCTTATATTTTTTAATGCTTCTTTCCCTCTATCTTGCAATACTTCTTTTGGATTTGCTCCGGAAATAATATCAGATAATGCATTAATGCCGGTGTCTAAAGATTCTTTTTTCACTAAATTCAAACCGGATGATATAACTGGTTTTAAATATTTAAACAATCCTCCAAAGAAACTTCCAAGTCCTCGTCCTCTTTGATATTGCACACTTGAGTGAACTAAAGGTCCAATGTCGTCAGTACCCCTACCACTTTGTACTAAATAATACTTGTAATATGAACGGTTCATCATATAAGAATAAATAACATGAGCTTGTTGACTTATTTATATCTTTTGAAGTGTAATACAATTTTGGTGGGCATGTTGCTTCTAGAAAAATTTAAATTATATCCGTATTTGTCACATAGCAAAATTGAAATGCTTTCAAAACTGTCTTTTTCAATATTACAATACTGAACTTGGTCAAATTGTGTTACGAAATCTGTAAATGGATTTGTTGTATTAATAGTTCTCATACATCTTGCCATTGTATCACCAATATATTGCGGTTCTATTATATCCGTATAAACAAACACCATATCAGTTTTAGTTTCTGGAGAGGTTACTAACATATTTGTTATATTTTGATATGCTTCAATAAATTTTGATTTATATTTTTTAAGTTCTTTTTGTACAGCAAGTACTTGTTGAAGACATGTTTTCAATAAAAATTTTACTGTATACCCAGTGCCAACAAGAATTCGTATTTCAGCCGAAGGCCTTTCAATGCATAATTTTATGTATTCTGTATGTGTAGTATCTATCTTAAATTTGTTATCCAAAACATAATTAGCATCATTTGAAATGAAATTATAGATTTCCCATATTAATTGTTGTTCCACTTCTTTTCTTGTGTATCCCGGATTTGGAGAAATATTTTGAAACAGTGTGGGTAATAAAAGCGTTTTCCAATCGCATCGCAATTCGTTTTCATTATAAGGAATATAGGTTTTTCCAATACCGATGGAGTTTTTTTCCGTTGTTCCAATAAATATCACAGCAGCCTTTGCGTAAACTTCTCCAAATATGTTTGGAATAAAATTGTTCATAAAAAGTTCACAAATTCCTACTTTCCACTTATTTTTCTCTAAATTCAAATGTTTTGGTAATTTATTTGTAAATTTTGATAAAGTATTTTCGGGATAATATTTAATTGATGCGTCACTCAACAACGTTATATAAAAATCTTCCCCATTAGGTTCTATTTGAAGCGTGTCCATTGTTGCGTAGATACACTAGAGGCAGACTTTGCTTTTGTTCTTTTTCGAACAGGAAAATTTAATTGTAATTGTTTATCACCTTCTCTTGTGGATGATCGAAGTACTCGTTTTAAAGGTTTTTTTGGACTATCAATAGGAACACTTATAATGTCGCCTGAATCTGTTTCAAACATTCGCACGTTTGCTACATTTATAGATTTCCTTGGTTTTAGTCGTGCTCCCTCTGAAGCTACTGATAGTGCTCTGTCTCGTAATAGCGATTCGTCTTTTATATCATCGTCAAAAACATCATCTTTTTCCTCATCTGAAGGTACTATACTCCAATATTCAATAGGATATTCTGTATGTGTAGTATCTATCTTAAATTTGTTATCCAAAACATAATTAGCATCATTTGA